ATTTACCACCTTCACGAGTTCAGTCTCAGTGCTATGATGGGGTCTAATACCAGACTGAAGCATTTCGTAGACATTATTTGTCTTCAGGAAGGCAGTGAGTTGCTGCGCAACAGCTTTTTCTACAATGTATGAGAGGAATGGGAAATTGGATATAGGCCGATTTTAGTTTTTTACATTTTCCGGGTCAAGGTTTGGCTTTTTCAAGAGAGGCTTTATTACTGCCACTTTTAGAGAGTTTGGTACACATCCAGTGGACAGGGAGCCATTTATTATGTTCAACATAGGAGGGCCAAGCACAGGAAGTAGCTCATTCAGTAGTTTAGTTGGAATAGGGTCCAGTATGCAGCTCGAAGGTTCATGAATATGTCAAGAGTTACAGGATTAAAAAACTTGAATGTCTCCATTGATCCTAGGTCTTGGCAGTTCTGTGCAGACTCAGGACAACTGAGCTTTTGAGAAATATGCAGATTCAAAGAGGAGTCCATAATTTGCTTTCTAATGATCATGATCTTTTCATCTAAGTTCATGAATTTATCACTGCTGAAGTGAAAACTAACCTCTCTTGTTGAATGCTGCTTTTTAGTTAGCTTTGCGACAGTATCAAAAATAAATGTTCGATTGTTCTTATTCTCCTCAATTAGGTTGGAAAAATAGGATGATCGAGCAGCAGTGAGGGCTCTTCGATATTGCACGGTACTGTCTTTCCAAGTGGTAGTTGGGATGCATTGTTTTTCGTTTTTTTTGACAAGATCACACCTGTCAGACAGCGTTTCCAGCCACAATGCTGCATCATCACTTAAACACACACTCACGTTCTGTAGTAGGTCACGTGCTGATATCTTTGTGACTCTGGGAGAGCAAGGGCTGAATCAGGCTCTGAATCCGAATGTGCATCTTCCTCTCCGAGCTCTGGTGCGACATCAGCGACCGCTGTGCTGCTGCTAGCTGGTAATACTGATGATGTGCCACCGAAAGCAGCAGAGGCAGCAATGCTACTGTTTGAAGTGCTAGCTAGGCTAATGCTAGTGGTTGTTGAAGTGCTAGCTGGGCCTGTCTCTGGGCTCGTTGTCGTCATGTCCTCTGCCACAGCGATGGCAGTATTATCCGCGGCACCTGACTACAAGAATGCGTTAACTCTGGAAATGTGTTAAATGTTCTCTTTTCGCTACCCTGTTCTTCTTAAAGCGCCTCATCATAGCGTTTTTGCTGCAGCTTTACTGTTAATGAAAGTCACATTTGCAATCATATCACGTGAAACAATGCATGGGCCGGCAGTACAGGAACTCTAGTCAGGGTGGAATAGTCTATTATACATATGAACCAGTCCATGGGTGATCAATGACGCTTGTTTCTACTATGAGCAAAACTGATTATATTATGAACATGTATATGTAGCTAAATAAATGGATAGATTATTAGTCACCTGTATGGATTGATTAACTTTTTTGGAGGCCTGTGTCAACAATGTGCCATCAACATATGCCCAGCTAATGAGGCCCCTTTTTAATTTATTTTTATTTCACCTATTTAACCAGGTAAGCCAGTTGAGAACAAGTTCTCATATACAACTGCGACCTGGCCAAGATAAAGCAAAGCAGTGCGATTAAAAACAACAACACAGAGTTACATATGGGGTATAACAAAACATAAAGTCTAAAATACAACAGAAAATATATATATAGTGTGTGCAAATGTAGCAAGTTATGGAGGTAAGGCAATAAATAGGCCATAGTGCAAAATAATTACAATTAGTATTAACACTGGAATGATAGATGTGCAAGAGATGATGTGCAAATAGAGATACTGGGGTGCAAATGAGCAAAATAAATAACAATATGGGGATGAGGTAGTTGGGTGGGCTAATTTCAGATGGGCTGTGTACAGGTGCAGTGATCGTTAAGGTGCTCTGACAACTGATGCTTAAAGTTAGTGAGGGAGATGAGTCTCCAGCTTCAGAGATTTTTGCAGTTTGTTCCAGTCATTGGCAGCAGAGAACTGGAAGGAATGGCGGCCAAAGGAGGTGTTGGCTTTGGGGATGACCAGTGAGATATAACTGCTTGAGCGCATTCTATGGGTGGGTGTTGCTATGGTGACCAATGAGCTAAGATAAGGCGGGGATTTGCCTAGCAGTGATTTATAGATGGCCTGGAGCCAGTGGGTTTGGCGACGAATATGTAGTGAGGACCAGCCAACAAGAGCGTACAGGTCACAATGGTGGGTAGTATATGGGGCTTTGGTGACAAAACGGATGGCACTGTGATAGACTACATCCAATTTGCTGAGTAGAGTGTTGGAGGCTATTTTGTAAATGACATCGCCGAAGTCAAGGATCGGTAGGATAGTCAGTTTTATGAGGGCATGTTTGGCAGCATGAGTGAAGGAGGCTTTGTTGCGAAATAGGAAGCCGATTCTAGATGTAACTTTGGATTGGAGATGCTTAATGTGAGTCTGGAAGGAGAGTTTACAGTCTAACCAGACACCTAGGTATTAGGGGGGCATGGGCAAGTTGCAGTGGAGGGTGCAGAGCTGGTGGCCGGGGTAGTGGTAGCCAGGTGGAAAGCATGGCCAGCCGTAGCAAAATGCTTGTTGAAATTCTCAATTATTGTAGATTTATCGGTGGTGATAGTGTTTCCTAGCCTCAGTGCAGTGGGCAGCTGGGAGGAGGTGCTCTTATTCTCCATGGACTTTAGTGTCCCAAAACCTTTTGGAGTTAGTGCTACAGGATGCACATTTCTGTTTGAAAAATCTAGCCTTTGCTTTCCTAACTGCTTGTGTATATTGGTTCCTAACTTCCCTGAAAAGTTGCATATCGCGGGGGCTATTCGATGCTAATGCAGTACGCCACAGGATGTTTTTGTGCTGTTCAAGGGCAGTCAAGTCTGAGGAGAACCAGGGGCTATATCTGTTCTTAGTTCTGAATTTTTTGAATGTGGCATGCTTATTTAAGATTGAGAGGAAAGCACTTTTAAAGAACAACCAGGCATCCTCTACTGACGGAATGAGATTGATATCCATCCAGGATACCTTGGCCAGGTCAATTAGGAAGGCCTGCTCGCTAAAGTGTTTTAGGGAGCGTTTGACCACGGACCCGTTACGGACGCAGGCAATAAGGCAGTGATCGCTGAGATCCTGGTTGAAGACAGTGGAGGTTTATTTAGAGGGTAAGTTAGTCAGGATGATATCTATGAGGGTGCCCATGTTTACGGATTTAGGGTTGTACCTGGTAAGTTCCTTGATAATTTCTGTGAGATTGAGGGCATCTAGTTTGGATTGTAGGATGGCCGGGGTGTTAAGCATATCCCAGTTTAGGTCACCAAGCAGTACAAACTCTGAGGATAGATGGGGGGGGGGGCAATCAATTCACATATGGTGTCCAGGGCACAGCTTGATGTGAGGCCTGAGGCAGTTGCCTCTTCTGCCTAATGGGAAGTCTGCCACTGACTGCTCCTACTCCCTTTGGCAACTACTTGCTTGTTTACCAGGGTTATAACAAATAATCAAATAAAAATATTCCAAAACAAGACAGCTTTATTTATAATACGTTTCAAACATTACAACACATAGTACATCATGACACTTAAGTTCAGGATCACAGTAGAATTTATAGGCTGGAATCCATTTGCTCAAAATTGGCAAGACCTACAGATGAGAAATTGGACCATCATCTTGACATAGGGTGACTCAGCATCATTTGGCACATTAACGTAATACATTTAGCTGCACATTTGAAAAAAATCTAAATGTAAACATAGCATTCAAATTCCACTAGCAATTAGTGGTAGAAAGAAAATGGTATTGAACTCTGAGCAAGGTAAAAGTATTTCAGTAACAACCCCCCCCCCCCCCCCAGTTGTTACAGGTATAACATCGTGAGTTTGCTTTAAGGGACTAACCTGTAAACATGCATAATCCCTTGAAGCTGTAAATTAAGTTAAATAATATGCTTGAATAAATACAGAACTGAATTAACAGCAAGACAAATAAATGTAGTCATGTCAACATACCAAATCAGTGTCCAGCTACTTAAAAGCACAAAACATTTCCTTTCTAAAACAGGTCTTAACATGTCTTTTATTTTATGAGGTAGAGGGAGACAAAATACCTGACACTCACAACAGAACATACTTTTTAAGTTAGGAATTCCACTCAATACACAGCATTCTCACCAGAAAGTGATAAAGTGAAACCAAAAACCACTCTGATGTATCCGAAAAAAGCAACATGGTATCTCACATCCTAAGAGCACAAAAACAAATAACTATGCATCATATCTGGTGCAAATAATTTACAATTGTTGAGTGAGACCAAAGTTTTCTGGCACCATTCCAGCTGCAATCATATGAATAAAACATGTATATTATATGAGCACCACAAATAGCTGCTTTCAGGGGGATTCCCTCGAGGCAGAGCACAACTACACCTCCGTTCAAATAAGTGACCAAATACTGTATCTCACAGGGTACATTTTGGGAACCAGTTCAGAAATACAGAAGGCCTACACCCAAGAGACTGTTACAGTGAGATATGCTGGTGTAGGCTAATCCAAGGTAATTAATTAGAAATTCCAAATATTGGGGTTGGGCATGGGCATACCAGCTATACGCCCTCTTATTTGGTCCATTGACAAATTGAGAAGAGCACCATGGAACTAAAATGAAAACCAGTCACACCGGTTGGAACAGAAACTCTCAGGGGGTGCCATTACCATGTGCCTGTTGGAATGCACAGATTGGAACTTCTGATACAAAGAGCAAAAAAATCATGCAAGGTTAAAAACCGATGAGGCAACATCTTCATGAAAAAAATCCTGTAAACTGTAAACACTTTAGACTGTGTAGTGTGGCAGTCACTCGACAGGTTCAGAAAAAGAGAGCAAACAGTTCACTGCTGGTAAACTAATGGCATAGGGTGTAGAGAATGGACAGACTTATTGCTGACATCATTGCAAAAAGCTTAAAATGGCCCTGTCAGGGCAATGCAGCAATCCCTCCCCCCACAACTTAGTCGGTCTTGGAGCTCTTGCCAGTGTTACCGCCTTTGCCTTTCAGGTAGGTCTGATAGAAGAAAGAGGAGAAGAGGACCAGGTAGCTGAGGTACATGAGGGAACTCCACACAATGTTGTTCAGGTAGGAGTGGCAGTCCCCCTTCTGCATCCAGCGGTAGACCAGCCAACTGACCGTCAGCCCCATGGCCATCTGGGCGATCTGGAAGGTGGTGATGACCACGGCAAAGGGGCGTGGCACCCGGTAGCCGGTAGCCCGCACTGCGTAGTAGCTGTACATGAGTGCATGAACAGAGTAGTTCATGGTCATGAACCAGCCGCCTCCAGCCACCTGGTCCTTGTAGGAGTACCAGGAGTAGAGCAGCACAGTGACGTGGTGGTACCAGTGCAGGAAGATCAACCGCTGCTTACGGAGCACGATGAATGCCGTGTCACCTGTGGAGACCATGGAGAGGACATACTTCAGGACCGGCAAAGTCATGGTCCCAGTCATGCAGACAAACATTTACTGCATATCTTCAATCAACGTCAAAGCATGGTTTACGCACAAGAGAGACCAAGTAATATGGTTTGCCATAAATGAATTAGACTCATGGTAAGAGTGGACAAAATGCCAAGTTCAGACAGATGACTGCTAGTTCCAATCCCGGTTCTTACCCAGTTCCGGGGCTTTGCTCAGGACAAAGGCATAAGCCCAGAACTTGCTCACAGGCCCATTGTAGAAGCTCTGGTCACATATAGACTGTCTGAAACCGCTGGTGGAGAGGATATACAGCATGTACCATCCTGTTCGAATTGCTCCAACGATACTGCAATTAAGAGAGAAAGAGTTAAGCATTGCACTAGAGGGCAAGTGACAAAATAATCTAATCCAAGTGACATTAGCATTGCATCACAGCCTTGCACACAAGAGTATTTCACAGGGATGGTTTGTTGAGACATCACATTTTGGAAGGTTTTGTTTAAGGAACTCTGACCCACATTGACCACCATCCCATTAGCCAGAAAGTTAAACTCAAATATAACACCTGGCTGACACAGAGGGCATAGCTCGTGAGAATAGGCAGCCCTCCAACAATCAGGCTTAACCTCAGTTTGTGACATCAGTACACCGGTCACATTACTTTGAATGGAGAATTACTGAGAGCTGACATGTGCTAGAGTGTAAACCTAACCTTCTTTTAAAAAATGAAAGCCCCAGAGACATGATTACTGTAGGCGAACAGACCACTGCAAATTGAACCCAACTAATCCCCAAAATAAATTGTATTAAAAAATAAATATTTTCCTACCTTGATTACATTGAGACAATCATGTCTCTTTATTTGTGGGAATACTTGGAAACAGATTTCCTAAATTAAACCAATTTTTTGCTGAATTCCTGGTGATTTGACAGGCTTTTTATATACTTTTTTTTTTATTGTGGGACGGTTTTGGCCCACCAGCCACCTGTTGCGGACCCCTGTTGTACATCTTCCATTCATTCAAAAGTCAGAGGCAAATGTGGGTGTTCTGTGCTTTAACTCACCTGAAGATGGCCAGGCTGAGTGACCACAGAACCAGTGGCCTGCGTAGATGAAGTTGAGGCCTCTCCTTCATGAGATGTTGGCCTCCAAAGACCAGAGCTGCATACAGGCCACAGTACACAAAGGCCTTGCTCCTGATGAGAGAAAAAAACTAATCAACCATGTCTGTCAGTTTCCTTAGATTGTGCTCATGACGGGCAAGGTTACTCAGCTGCAAAGGTATTTCAGTGATTGAGCACAATCTAGGTCTAGGACTTTGCTGAAGTGACATTGTCGCATACCTTTACCATAAATAATTCTGTATTTAACATGACACACCCAGCTTGCTATGGTGATAAGTGAAATGTAGGCCTATTGACTAAAGCAATCTTGCCTGACGACTCAAACTGAAGTCTTCCGCTGCTCTGTTCGCTACATACTTGTCTGAGACTGCCATTGTTTAAGTCATTTGTCGTGACGTCAAAATGAGGGGTTTGTACAAAACAAAGTCATCAGCAATTGGATCATCTAATCAATCGGAGTATAAGATGCAATGACACATTTTCCAAACGCCAATTCACCCATGCGTGTTATAGCTCTGGCCCAACCCATCGGCGACCAATCAGGTCAGAATGTTTGCAGATACATACTCATCGCAGAGAAGAAACTGTGGGAGTGGGATCATTATGCCGATTCTGTTGCAACAGAAACTTACTCCAAATGGAAAACGCAAATGAGAGTTTCTATTGGACAAATTTAGGTAGGTCCCTCTCCATTTCATTTGCTTCCGTAATAAATACACTCCAGGCAAAAAGCAAAGCCCTATAGCCACTTTGGTTTATATTCATAGCTGCAGGAAGTAGGGGTGCTGATGGTGCTGCAGCACACCCTGTAAAATCAGAATAAAAAAATAATATTTACACAAAAGTAGTGCACTTGGCCTTTACTAGTATTAGCGGACGATGGATGTCTGTAGCACAGGCAACAACAAAACATATCAGCATCTCCACTTTGGCAAAAGAGGTAGCTGTATAATTAAGAACAGTATCTTGCAGGATTCAGTGGTTGGAATTGTATGAGTTGTTGCCCTGTCCCTTTCTCTGTGATGGATCCAGAAAGAACAAAACGGTTATGGGCAAAGACAAAACAGCCACATCAAATTGAATATTTTTCTTGATCAAATGTCATGGAAAACCACTTTTTGTGCAGTACTAATTTACCATCCTTAGAAACAACTTAAACGTAAATGTACATAGGCTTGTACCTGTAGACTTTCAATCACCATGAAGAAAAACAATGTACAATACTACCCCAACCCAAACTACTTCCCGTGGCTATGTTGATAGTAGCTAGCTTGAAAAGGTAAGTAAAATGTAAGTTTAAGAAACCATTCAAATCTTTCTCTCTGCAGTCTAGCTGACTTTATTTTTACTTTTCTACTAGAAAACCTGAGTAAACCACTACTAGATGTGGAAATTCTCATTTCAAATGTCAAGGCAAGAAAAGAATGTGGCTGCTATATGAATAATGTGTTAAAGTACAGGTAACTGCCAAAATAAAGGATAATATGGCGTTGGGCCACCACAAGGCGCCAGAACAGCTTCAATACGCCTTGGCATAGATTCTGTCTAACTCTATTGAAGGGATGTGACACCATTCTTCCACGAGAAATTCCATAATTTGGTGTTGTTGTAAAACGCAGTCTCAGGCACAGCTTTAGAGTCGCCCATAAGTGTTCAGTTGGGTTGAGATCTGGTGACTTAAACCCCCTACGCGCCTTTGAGACCCCTCTTTCAAATTCACAGATCTCTTCTTCTAGCCATGGTAGCCATTTTTATACATGACCTAAGAATGATGGGATGTTAATTGTTTAATTCCCTCAGGTCTCAGATAAGACGTAACATAGTAAACGTATATCCAGGACACTGAAATTAGTATGACATGTTACTTTTGGTATGTTACATAAGACAGAAGGTTACTTAAGACAAAAACAAAAGGAGGGTGGTCGCGGTGGATGTATAACATGAACATCTAGCAACCCAAAGGTTGCGTGTTCAAATCTCAGACAACTTTAGCATTTTAGTTAATTAGCAACTACACTGAACAAAATATAAACGCAACATGTAAAGTGTTGGTCCCATGTTTCATGAGCCGAAATGAATCCCAGAAATTTTCCATACGCACAAAAATCTTATTTCGCTCAAATTTTGTGCACATCCCTGTTAGTGAGCATTTCTCCTTTGCCAAGATAATCGATCCACCTGACAGGTGTGGCATATCAAGTAGCTGATTAAACAGCATGATCATTACACAGGTGCACCTTGTGCTGGGGACAAATGGCCACTAACATCTGCAGTTTTGTCACAACACAATGCCACAGACATCTCAAGTTGAGGGGGCGTGCAGTTGGCATGCTGACTGCAGGAATGTCCACCAGAGCTGTTGCCAGAGAATTTTATGTTAATTTCTCTACCATAAGCTGCCTCTAAATTGTTTTAGAGAATTTGGTAGTACGTCCAACCCGGCAGACCACGTGTAACCGCGCCAGCCCAGGACCCCCACATCCGGCTTCTTCATCTGCGGGATCATCTAAGACCAGCCTCCCGGACAGCTGATGAAACTGAGGAGTATTTGTGTCTGTAATAAAGCCCTTTTGTGGGGAAAAACTCATTCTGATTGGCGGCAGGTAGCCTGGCGGGTAGTAGCGTTGGGCCAGTAACCGAAAGGTTGCTGGATCGAATCCCCGAGCTGACAAGGTTAAAAACATATCTGTTGTTCTGCCCTTGAACAAGGCAGTTAACCCACTGTTCCCCTGGCGCCGATGACGTGGATGTCGATTAAGGCAGCCCCCCTCACCTCTCTGATTCAGAGGGGTTGGGTTAAATGTGGAAGACACATTTTAGTTGAATGCATTCAGTTGTACAACTGAGTAGGTATCCCCCTTTCCATGGCTGCGCCCTTGCCCAGTCATGTGAAATCCATAGATTAGCCTAATGAATTTATTGATTTCCTTATATGAACTGTAACTCAGTAAAATCGTTAATTGTTGCGTTTATATTTTTGTTAAATGTATGTATAATTATTTAACAGGTACTGTAGATGTGAGCGAAAATAGCTGTAAGTAGCAGTAGAAGTATTGTTATTCATTAGTTCACGCAAATTAGGGTAGGGATGGTAGGGGGGAGGGAAAAGTATAGAGAATATTTAAATAAAAAAGATTAGAAATTATGCAAACAATTAAATTGATAGAACCTACAATCTTGGCTGCACCCCTGCCCAGTCATGTGATATCCATAGATTAGGGCCTAATGAGTTTATTTAAATTGATTGATTTCCTTATATGAACTGTAACTCTGTAAAATCGTTAATTGTTGCATTTATATTTTAGTTCAGTATACTTAACATGTTAGCTAACCCCTCCCTTAACCCTTTTAGCTAACCCTTCACCTAGCACTTTAACCTAGTTCCTAACCCATAGTCTAGCTAACATTAGTCAGCTAAATAACATTAGCCACCTAGCTAACATTAGCAACAACAAATCGGAATACCTAACGTATCCAAATTGTAATTCGGCACATATCATACAAAATGGATGGACATCCAAATTAATACATGCCATACAAAACTTAACAAAACGTTAAAAAATTGAGTGTCTCGGGCTTACTTACAGAATAATACGAAATACTACGAGACCAAGTTGGTGTGGAAGAGACCGCTTTCAATATACTTTGTTTCCCTCATTTACTCAAGTGTTTCCTTTATTTTGGCCGTTACCTGTAAATCGTATAATATGTGTCTTAGGCTGTCTCTAACTGTGTTGTCTAATTGTCATGACAGACGTGACACTGCAGTTTATGAAGTGATGAAGGGCTACACCTGACCAGGCTGTCCTGTTCGACCACAAGAGCAAGGTGAATTCATAATCATTTTGAAAACCAAACCATGTGATAACATAGCCTACTCACTCACCAGTTTTCCTGCATCCATTCGATAGCGACTCGCTCGTCGAATTGCTGTTCGAAACCATATTCGGAAAGTGGTACTTCATGATATTCAGTCTCATTCATTTTCGATCTTGCGCTCTCTCTAAAAGCTTTAACAGAACTAGGCTATGTAGAATTTATTATCTGGGATATAAATCCCCAGTAGATGCCTACCTAATGTTTGCTAGATTGAGCCTAAGTACACGCGTACAATCGTCTTGCTCACACCTCATTCCAATTACGCACAAATATAACCTTGTTATATACGGTCGTGCCCTGCCCTGCCCTCTCTCGTCTCACTGTCGGAGGATAGGCTACTTTGGGAATTTTGGTTTCGACCGAGGTCATAATAAAATGATTAACATAAGGAAAACTCACAGAACCAACACGTCTCAATAGCCTATAATTTAGTATTCAGGTAACTTTGTAAATTACACATAATTGCTTTGAATCTGCGAAAATGCTGCCTTGGACATAATTTTGCTAGATTGCTAGGATAGATCTGAATCTGTACAAAAGCTTTGACACAACAGGGCAAAACATAACCTGGCAACCCCGCAGCATTGACGTCATAAATAGAGATGACAGTTGGTTATTGCGTCAACGGGCAAGTTAGGCGCATAAAATAGCTCCAGAATGTTCCATTTCCAGCTAGTCAGCTATAGTAGTTTGCGTTGTAATGTTTACTCCTTGTATTTGAAAATTAGGCTATATTTTAAATCAAAAAATGGCACAGCACGCCCACAAGGAAAGGTGCAACATAAAGATTGTATTTGTGGCCTTTATTTTCTTATTTTCTATCTCATTATGCCCGTTTATGCAAAGCCAACTCCTACAAATGTTTTGGCTTCATCTTCAGCTGGAGCACAGTACTTTGATCTACCCTGTTCAGAACAACCCAGATGTTACAACCCTGAAACCAACCAATTTTTTTAACACATTTTTTGGGACAATTTGAGAGTTTACTGGTGAACGATGAGACAGGAATCGCAAAGTTAGCCTAGACGTAGCGTTAACAGAGTGAAGTCAGAGAGGCAAATGCCTGAGCTTGAGTTGTGGCAACATTCAAAGTTTTTATCTGATTTCCCACAGATGGTAGACCAGGTAATGTGGACCAGTTGACTGACTAAAGGATATCCTGGACCCTACACAAATGCTAAAGACCCCCAGGGGCTTGTGAAGGCCCTAATTTATGTTCTACAGACTTTCAAGACTTTCAAGAAGCAAACAACATCACATGGTGAATTGCCCTTTATTCCTTTCCTACTATTTGCCCATTTCAATTAACATTTAAATGAAAACTATGTGTAAATATGTGAACGTGTGAATTTCACATTTGTGAATTGTGAAATCCATTGTGAAAGGTTTTATATTTTGTTCTGATGCAGGTGATGATGACATCTTCAAACTGTGGGGAAAAGCTCAGAGTTTCAATGAAATCAATCCCAGAGTCAACATATTGACAGACCCCACTTACTCCGAGCCACTTGTGAAAGTTAACTTGATTTTGGGCCTCCTTTTCTAGGGCTTTATCGTGATAGGTAGGTACATAACATTTGACTGTCTTTTTACTGTATGGAAATGTATTGTTCTGCTTCATCAGTTGATATTGATGTCAATATAATATAGAATGTTCTGCTCTGTATGTTAACATGAGCAACAGCTGGGGTATGTTGCAGCTACAATGTTATCATGTTTGGTCTGTGCATTGTCTGGCACTGAAGTCTGTATTTTACACCAGTGTTTATCTATGACTTTGTTCGAGTCTCCAAGGAGGCCAGAAGGAGATCTGATGCTCTAGCTGAAGAGAAAACAACAACCCCCTGTTGAACCACAGTCAACTTTATCCAAATATACACTATGATACCTTACTCTGTGTGGCGTTAACTTGCTTGAATATGTGATCCCTGGCTAAGTTAAGTGTAAGCTATACTGACTGCAGGGTCTCACGTTCTGTTGTAACAATGACCCCCTTTAGATCAGGAGAGCATCGCTTCATTGATTCGTTTGAAAAATACATAATCCACAGCTGATGATTTGGAGGCGAATTTCCCCAAGTTTACATTATTTATTTTGTTGACGTCACACAATGTGTTGTTTGTGAGATGCAATAACAGTAGTAAAAAAAAAAAATCTAGATGGAGATAAAGAAGAAGCTGTACATCTTTTAAACTGTCAATGTATGAGTCTGCTTGTTGTATAAGTATGTTTCAAATTTTTGTTTCGTTGTTCTGTAGTACGAATCTGAGTCAACTGTACAATTTGCAGACTCTACAAAAGCAAAGAGTGCTGTCAGCCTTAGAGAGTAGGAGCCTCTGCCTAGTGAGTTACTGTAGATAGATCACACACTGTTTTGTTACTGAGAGATTCATGGAGTTTATCTTTAGGTTGAGGGTTTTTCAGTGTATAAAACCGTGATGTACTGACCACAATCACACCAAACATTCAAATCAATGTATAGCTTGTTTACAGATATGCAGTACTCAGATGTACAACATGAGTTAAACGAGGTTCTCAGTCTGCATAGGTGGTTCATGGTGAAGATTTTGCTCTCAGCCTAGATTATTTATCATATCAGTTCATATGGCGATTCTAAATGTATTTTGTCTGTATTTTTCCCCAGAGTCTCAGCTGATTGATGTTTGCATCAACTGAGGACCACGTCTTAAACCCAGTGATATTTAATGGAAGCGACAGAAATCAAATCTCCAAATAAGATCGTTGACACTGGCACCTTTGAAGACTTTTTGTCTTGTCACTTACCCCCATACTTACACTGACTGCTTAACAGTTTAATGCAACCCTCAGGTTTCAACCCTTTAGGATAGACCAGTGAGGAGACAATACTTGCAGGCATAATGTACGTGATTTTAAAAAGCCCCAGGCATGGTATAGTGCTCGAAGAATCTTTCAAAGCCCGCTCTCTGTCTTCCTTTAGTCTACTGAGACACTCATCTCCTTTTGGCATGAGCTTTAGTTTATTACGGTGTCTGTGACTTTCCTATGATGATACACTGCAGAACAACACAAATCAACGTTTATTAGTGAGTACACAGTTCTGCACGTTATCGCAGGTGCAGCTAAATGCTTATGTTTCTTGCTCCAACAGTGCAGCAATATCTATCAAAACCTACCCTACCCAGTTAAACATTGTAGTTCGCCTGGTTCTCTTTTATCAATTAACATTCTTCCAGAAGAGCATAGTTCTTGGAAAGGATTTACCTCATCAGCCTCAGGTTGTTGTCTCAGAGATTGAGAATGTCTCATATAGGACGAAAACACCGACTACAGACAGAAGTAGGGATGGAAGTGAGAAATGCTGCCACCTTCCGGAGAAAAATTGTTTGTCAGCCATGGTATCTGACTGGTTCATCAAGAATCCTTATGTAGAAACAATGATGAGATGAGAAGGTATTGTGGGATCATATACAGTTTTTGGATACATACAGCATTTAGCAAATCTGTTTTAGGAGAGAAAGGATGAAAAATAGTCCACATTTAAAGGCTAGAATGGGATTTCTAGGCAACAAGCCAAGCTGCTGGGCTTGTGGGCTGCATGAGAGTCACCTCGGTGTGCAGCAGAACCCACCATATACATTCCAACTGTTCAAACAGGGCTGATGTGTGGGTGGTTTTTTCAGGGAGACCTATGGTGGGTGGTTTCCCTCTCCGAGCACTAAACTTCTGACAGGCCACAGCAAACTACACACCAGTTCTTGCACATATAGAATGATAGAGAGAAAGGAGGACTTGGACTTTGGACAGGACTTAGTGGGTTTTTATATGAGAAGGTGTATTTGAAAAACCATGAGTTATGGGTGGCCTTGCACTTTTGCATAGTGCATACACTACATGGCCAGAAGTATGTGGACACCTGCTCGCCGAACATCTCATTCCAAAATCATGGGCATTAATATGGAGTTAGTCCCCACTTTGCTGCTATAACAGCCTCCACTCTTCTGGGAAGGCTTTCCACTAGACGTTGGAACATTGCTGCGGGGACTTGCTTCCATTCAGCCACAAGAGCTTTAGTGAGGTTGGGCACTGATGTTGGCCGATAAGGCCCGCAGTCGGCGTTCCAATTCATCTCAAAGGTGTTCAATGGGATTGAGGTCAGGGCTCTGTGCAGGCCAGTCAAGTTCTTCCACACCAATCTCGACAAACCATTTCTGTATGGACCTCGCTTTGTGCACAGGGGCATTGTCATGCTGAAACAGGAAAGGGCCTTCCCAAAACGTTTGCCACAAAGTTGGAAGCTCAGAATCGTCTACAAAGTCATTGTATGCTGTAGGGTTAAGATTTCCCTTCACTGGAACTAAGGGGCCTAGCCTGAACCATGAAAAACAGCCCCAGACCATTATTCGTGGTCCTCTGTAGCTCAGCTGGTAGAGCACGGCGCTTGTAACGCCAAGGTAGTGGGTTCGATCCCCGGGACCACCCATACACAAAAAATTTATGCACGCATGACTGTAAGTCGCTTTGGATAAAAGCATCTGCTAAATGGCATATTATTATTATTATTATTATTCCTCCTCCACCAAACTTTACAGTTGGCACTATGCATTCGGGCAGGTAGGGTTCTCCTGGCATCCGCCAAGCCCAGATTCGTCCCGTCGGACTGCCCGATGGTGAAGCATGATTCATCACTCCAGAGAATGCGTTTTCACTGCTCCAGAGTCCAATGGCGGCGAGCTATACACCACTCCAGCCGACGCTTGGTATTGTTCATGGTGATCTTAGGCTTGTTTGCGTCTGCTCGGCCATGGAAACCCATTTCATGAAGCTCCCGACAAACAGTTCTTATGCTGACGTTGCTTCCAGAGGCAGTTTGGAACTCGGTATTGAGTGTTGCAACCGAGGGTAGGTGATTTTTACACGCTACGCGCTTCAGCACTCGGCGGCCCCGTTCTGTGAGCTTGTGTGGCCTACCACTTTGCGGCTGAGCCATTGTTGCTAATAGACGTTTCCACTTCACAATAACAGCACTTACAGTTGACCGAGGCGGCTCTAGCAGGGCAGAAATTTGACAAACTGACTTGTTGGAAAGGTGGCATCCTATGACGGTGCCACGTTGAAAGTCACTGAGCTGTTCAGTAAGGCCATTCTACTGCCAGTGTTTGTCTATGGAGATTGCATGGCGGTGTGCTCGATTTTATACACCTGTCAGCAACGGGTGTGGCTGAAATAGCCAAATCCACTAATTTGAAGGGGTGTTCACATACTCACATACTTGTATATATAGTGTACCATCATTCACTGCTGTTTTCCTTCTGCTTAACTCAGAGGAACAACAACAAGCATGTGGTAAGTGCGTAGTGATGAGACAGTAGAACAGGGGTCACAGAGGGAGATTTAAGAAGGATTCCCCAGTAAGTGAGGTTGTTTTCACCCAACCCCCTCAGCTCACAATCTTCTCTCACAGCATGTCCAAAACGTAATGCAGTGTCATCGTAGCTTTGAACGAATGACAGGGAATTGCTTGAGGGATGCTTGCATTACACTTGGTCTCTGCAATGTCTGGATTGTTATAGAGGGGATGAGACAGGTACAAAAATATGGGTTATTCATTAAAAAATAGCTGTGAATATTAGTATGGGATTATTACTAGTATGTTGACAGAGTGGATGACTCATCCCAGGTAGCAGGCAAGGCAACATGCTGCAGGTAAGACATGCTCTGTTGTGTGTGTGTGTTGTATTTGTCTCTTTTCTATATATGTAAGTTGAACTGTTTTGATTTGTATTACTGTTTTGTGTGGTATATGTGAGCATGTGCCAATAGTTTTGTGTTTATTTTTCTGATGTGCCTGCTGCAAACGAGCACATTCCTGAATCATGTGGAATCTTAAGCATGCCTCCTGTCCTCTATGATTACTGCTGTTTGTCCTACCTTTTCTATTTCTGTGTCTAAACTCAACCAAGGTCTACTTTTCCTGAGGAAAATGTAATGTGTGAAACAGTAGTTAGCTTGACAAATGTAATACATTTCTAAATAAATTGTAACAGAGAGACAGAGTTGTGTGTATGTGCGTGTGTGTGCCCCCCTGCTAGCCCTACATAGGACGCCACGCATTCATACATGGCTTCATATGTAAGGCTGACTACCCCCCTGTGTGCCTTGGAATAGGGATTATACCCATGATCCCCACCACATTCTTTTGGCCTTGTCTAACAGATGTAGTATCTTAATTTGGGCCAGTCTCCTACAAAAGGAAAATAAACCTGCAGCAATAGGAAATGTGAATTATTATGTGGATTATAAGTAATGTACATTTTTGTAGCGGTTGATACATTTTTCGTAAGGGAAAATTGCGAAATTTCAAAGTGGAAATTACAAACTTTAGAAGCCTTTTTTAACCGCAAATACACTACAAGTAAAAAAAAAAATCATGCATTGCAGGAATGTTGTCCTGCAACAGGGTGATCAAATTAAGATCCTACATCTGTAGTGTTTGATCTGGTGCCAACAATGAGCCTATGGAACAGCAGGTGCACATAGTTTGTACTTTGTAAAATTATTAAATAACGACTTTGGCCCCTAACCTACTTCTCACCAGATAACCTACGGTATTTCCTTTCACTAGACAATATGATCAAAGCAAAGGGGGGGGAAATAGGCTATTATTATAAACCTGGCTGGTAAAATGCCTGGGGGGATGAATGGTGTTCGTTTTTCAGAAATCTAGCAGCCTACATTTTGGCGTGCTTTTGGAAGCAAATGCCCCACTTTGGGGGTAAGAAGAGTTCATGTTAAATCCAACCATTTCAGGATAATGATATTGGAGCAATCCCTCTGGATTTCAGCCATGACCCAGGTGTTGTACAGTAATT